TGTTGTCTTCATCCGTTTCCTGTTCGGATTCTCATCTCTCCAGTCCGGGTGTTGATTCTTGACAGGGGTGATGTTCTGCGACAGGGCATATTCCTCAGCAGTTATGAATTTCAACGATCTATCATTTACCTCACTGAAGGTGGTGGCGGGATGTTTAAGCAGACTTTCTCTGAATCTTTCATGGCCGAGACCCGAGATCACAGCTGTAATGCCCACTGCTTGGTCGAAAGAGTTAACCTCTAGCACTGCATCATTGAATCTGCTCATAAAATTCTTCAAAGACTCTCCGTCCCTCTGCTTAACCCGCATCAGCTCGGAAGTGGTTTTCCTGATCAACCTTCTACTGGAAAACTTTGTGGCAAAAGCAGATGCCAGTTCTGTGTATGAGTTGATTGACCTCGGAGGTAGACTGTAGTACCAGGTTCGAGCATTACCTCGGAGGGTAGAGGGAAAGATTTTGCACATTAACGCATCAGAGGCGTTCTAGGCCTGCATGCAAGAGTAGAAAGCATGTAAATGGTCATCGGGGTCTTTCGTCCCATCATAAGTTTCAAGCTGTGGTATTCGGAAGCCAGCAGGGTAGGGTTCCAGTATAATATTGGTGTTGAGAGGGTGAGGTACGGAGTCAGCTGCAGGGTGTGGATGTGGAATACCTCGCTGTTCGACCACTAGCTTTTCTAAGCTATCTAAACGCCGAGCGACGTCATCACGAGGGGGTTGCATAACCGGTGCGATGTGAGATTGGCCCTGAGATTCACTAACAGCGGGAGTACCTTGAATTGGTCCAGGATTTTGTGGTGGGGCCAGGGGTTGTGGTGGGGCAGGATTAAGTAGATTAATGAGTGGATCACCAGGATTGTTCCGGGCTAACAACTGAGCCAGCACTTGCTGAAAGACACCAAACTGCTGCTGCATGGCAGCGAGCTGAGTTGTAACTACATCCTGGTTAGCAGTAGAGGCTGAGTTGCTAACCGAATTGTGTGGTTGATTTTCGTCTTCTCCTTCTGCATGATCAACAGGAGGGAATGTATTTGGGATTGGGGGTGAAGGATGAGGTGGAAGGTTGCTGGGGACCTGACCTCGTCCAAGAGGCTGAGACGAGTTTCCCCCTCGGGCTGACCTAGTTTTAACCATGATAAGAGCAACAAAGAAGCCTTTAGTTCAGCTTCCCACAAACGGCGCCAAAATGTAACTGCACCAAACCAGACGTCCTTCTTCACTTCGAATCTGCACTCCGGATTGACCTGCAAAGCCCCGAGATGGATCTCGGGGTAGACACTCCGATGCTTAAGTCAGCAATAATCAAGGCTACCTTTTAAGCGAAGGAACAAGGAGTTTAGGGTTGGTTTTTTCATTACCTTTTGGCGTGGCCCTTAAGAGGTATTTATATGTTCCGATGCAGAATCCGCGCGGCGTGCCAATCAAGATGCCAAGCAAGATATCCGGGATGTGATATGTATCTAACAAAATATCCGGGATGTGATATGTATCTCCAAGCAGTTATTTCAGGACCGGGAGATTGAGATATATCTAGATACAAGGATGTCCATCGTAACTGCCGTGTAGCTATTCTAGCGGGAAGCTCTGGACTTACCCTTACACCTCTCAAAAATAAAATTAAACAATATAATCCATGAAGGAATCAAAATAAAATAACAAGTTAAACCCCTTAATCAAGATTCTCCCTAATCTTGTTGAAAGTTTAATTACCCTTTCACATAATTCTTTAGCCTTAAAAAAGAAGAAAATAGAAGTCTAAAAACTGTTTCTCTAGATGTTAAACCTAATTTTCAAGGCTTCTATTTATATTAGGAATAAAATAGAAGTGTTTGGTAATTAGGATAGCAGGCCTGGAGAATTTTTTTTTTTTTTATTCTTCCAGCACAGCCTTGTCGGTGAGTGGTCGGAACCTTAATGAGGGTGCGGAACCCTGCTTCATTCTGTTTTTGTGCCACATTGATCAGGGGTCGGAACCTGCTTCAAGGTGCAGAACCCTGATGTTTCTGTTTTTCCGTTTCTGGTCAAAGCAAACTTTCACGAATTTTGCTCTTGATAAAAAAATGGAGAAATCCAACTTGTGCCTTCAAACTTCCAAATTTACTCCTTGGATCCTCATCTTTTCAACTCTTTTCGTTCAAGTCCTTTTCTTCTAATTCTCTCCATTTAATCATCAAACCTTCAATCACCACAAGATTTGCACAACATGAATATAATAAACACTTATGAAATTATTTGTGAAAAATAAAACTTTTAAACCCATAATTCCACAAATGTTAATGATTAAGCACACTTTAAATATATATTTTCTTTCTTTCATCATCTGATGGAAAGAGATGATAGTACAGTTGATCAAACAGAAGGAGATGCTAGTGCACTTGATCAGATAGAAGGTGATGATGATACTCTTGATGGAGAAAAGCCTTGATTCATGGATCTCAAT